AGCAAATTTGTTTGAGGCTTGTGTGAGGTAGGCTTCAGCTGTGTCTTCCCTGGTCCCAAACTTTAGACGTCATGGTCTTGAATGCCCTGTGGGAACCCAATGCTCACCCCAAGGGGACTGCATTTCCACGAGGCTCACAGTGGGCTCTGATTTTGATTTCCCTGTGTTCTTGGGTTGAGGGTCACCTAGAAAACTGCAACTACCCCTACTTCCTGTGTCACTGAGGGTCCAGCTCCTTCTGCTCCGACCCTGTGAGTCAGGACTGGGGAACCCTAAGAACAAGGGAAGTGGGCCGAGGTTCATACTGTAGGATGGACGATTGCCTCAACATCAAAGAAGCCACCCAGCCTTGCCACTCCAGTGCCTTTCCACTGTCACATTCGCCCTGGAGAGACCCCTTCCTGACACCGCCTATGGGTTCCTCCTCATCCCTGAACCCTCTCTGCTTTTTGCAAAGTGACCAGCTCCCAGCAGCCCATAGAGAGCTCAGCAGAGATACAGAGCAGAACCAGTCTGCTGAGATGGAAGGCGTGGCTGTTAGCAGCTGGCTCCTCCTTCTCCCTCTGACGCCACTCTGACCTCTATTGCTGCTGTGCTCTAGCTTCCCTTTAGACTTGAGCCCTTCGGGAATGAAGCCTCACAAAGGTGTGCAAAGTGCCGCAGAAGCACAGGGAACATCCTTGGATACAGGCTCCCTGGCTCCCTCTTTGAGTCTGCAATTGTTCTGTCTTTCTCATCGCCATCCTACCCCTTCGTTCTGGTGCCTTGATTAACAAATTATAACCAGGAGTGGTTTACTGTATTTTTTGTTGCTGTTGTTTACATTTTTAATGGTGTCGTCAGCTGGACAAATCATCTCTATAAAGCAGAAACTTAAAGGCACACACTAAGAGAAATAGAACAGGAGAAGAGTGGGGGAGCTCAGAGTTGGGAATATTTGTTTTTTTGATGGTGGAAATCTGTGGAATACGTGAATGCATAGGAGCTTCTGTTTTGGTTTTGGTTTATGGAGAAAATGATAGCCAACTAAAAGAAAAATTGCCACATATTTTACAAGCGAAAGACACAAGGCCCACTATATATGTCTATGTCTAAATCTATATCTTTCTTTTTGTCTATCTGCTACATATTGGAGGGATGGGCTATCTAAGATACTTTGCTTTAAAGTATTCTTTGAATTCTTTTTTTTTTTTTTGTGGTACCGGGGATTGAACTCACGACCTCACACTTGCCAGGCAGGTACTTATGCCTGCTGAGCTAAATCCCCAGCCCCACTTTGAACTCTTTCAATCTGTTCCTTTTCTTAAGATCAGGTTTCAGGCTATCAAGTAAGCTGACTTATCCAGGTAAGGTTTCTTTGAGGGATTTGGGGTGTGATGGGCTTAAAAGATGAATAAACACTGGCCCTGAATCAAGGCCAGCAGCTTCTTGATGCTGTTGGTTTCAAGCAGGAGCCTAAAGGGATGTCTTTCTATGGTCTGTTGGCCATTTTAGAACTTGGGCAGTAAAATGGTCAATTCACTAGAAAGAAACAGCTTGAACCCCTGCCCGCTCTGGTGAGTGGCTGTGAGCGTGGCAGGCTGCAGTGGCCCAGGACAGGATCCACCCGTGTTTACTGGGACCCGCACCATGCTGGGACCTGGAGCACCGGGAAACCAAGCACCTCCCCGCCCCCAGCAGCTGTGTGCCTGGTGGCACACTTGCTGAAAACCAAACATCAGATCTTCTCCTGCTGCCCTACTGCCCCACCGTTAGCGAGTGATAGCCAGTGATCTGGACATCCTTTGAGAGGTTGACCGTAGGCAATGTAGCAAATAGAGGGATTTCCTCCTACCATCTCTTTGAAGGCAAATACTGTTATCCCTATTGTGCTTTGTTCTAATTAATGGTGTTATTTTAGCCTGTTTTGTTTTGTTGAACTTCAATATACATGAAAGTATGGACAGCTATTTTGAAGAGAACGAGAGACTCTATGACAGCCATTAGTGACTTCTCTATTGTCTGGGTTTGAAGACCTAAAATGCCTTCCCCATTCTGTTTGGATCAGTTTTATACTATGTTGTTTTATATGAATTCTTTGTATGCGAAGACGTGGACAACTGTTTGGAAGAAAACGAGACAATATAATAGATAGTAAAGCTCTCAGGTCATCTAACTTTGAAATTTATATCTCCTACATTGCTTTGTTATGTCCTGTTTTGTTGTGTTTAATTTTACCCCCTTTAAAATAAAAAAAAGAAGAATAAACAAACTGAGTGAATACGGATGTGGGTAACTTAGAGTAGCTTAGGAAACTTCAGTACCTCAGCACAATCCATTATGCTCTTGGTCCCTGGTGATCAGCTCCTTCAGCTTCTCTCCTTTTCCTGGGAAAGAAAAGTTTTCTCTAATTCCCTGGCAACCACCCTGGAGAAATCCAGGAGCTCCCAACAGTTACCTCATTAGAACAAAAGATGTTCCTATTAGCCAGGGAAGTAATTTAGGACTTCTGTGTCTCTACAAAAATCACAAAGGCCTTCAGAGCTTTTTGTCAGGAAGTGGAATAAAAGAATAAATATTAGAACAAGAAATCTTCTTAGTATTTTCGTTCATAAAGATCTTGGTCACTCTCTCTCTCAAGGACTGAGGTCTTTTGTTGTATCGAGCCATGATGTTCTGTCTTACTTCAGATACCCTGCAAAGAAGCCAGCAACCCCTGGACTGAACCCTCTGAAACCCTAAGCCCAAAGGAGCCAGTAACCCATGGCCAGAACCATTTCCTCCATTTCACTGTGGGGGTCAAGTATCTTGTCCAGACATGAAAAGCTTCCCAAAGCATCTGTTTTCATTATAGTAGTCTCCACTGTTATGGCTTGTATCTAGATCTCCCCAAAGCCCCATGTAGTCATAGGCGGGGCTTTCAGAGATGGCTGGATCTAGAGTGTGAGTCATGGTGCAATGGTAGGATTAAAGGTGGGTAGCCTGAATAGAATATCAGACAGAACGAAGGTTGCTGTGGTTGCTTGCTGCTTGTTACTTCTCTGCCTTGCCACCTTCTGCCTACCATGAACTGTTTCTCCTCTGTGTTGCCCCTCTGCCCTGCCCCCCTGCCTTGGAGTCAGCCTAGTGCGGACTGAAACCTCCACAAACTGTGAACTAAATAAACTTTTTTTCCCTTTAACTTTGGATGTTGGGTATTTTGTCTCAGCAACAAGAAAAGTAACTAAGATATCCAAATAAACTTTTCTCCTCTACTACAGAAAGAGTTTAAATGTAAGTCTTCCAACAAATTTATATATATATGCACTTTTGGAGGTATCAAAGTTGAAAATCACCCTAAGACCTCTGGGGCATCCTATATAAAACACTATGGAGAGTAATTGTTATGGAAGTAAAAGAGAAAAAGCTTTAATCAAAGGGGAGAATTCCCTTTCAAGAAAACAGTCCTTTCTTCTCAGACCAGATGATCAGCACAGTGTGCCAAAGAACCAGTCATCCAAAACAGCTCAAGATTCTTGAAGGGGGAGGCTGGGTGAGCATGTGGGGTGTTAAACTGGAGAGCTGGCAATTACATTGCTTAAACTCTCCTTGCTTAAATGATTCTGGATCCACTTTTTTTTCGTTGCTAATATGATAGTTTCTCTGTCCATTTGTCAGAGGCTTTAACTGTAGCCCCGATATGCAGCCCTTCAGAAGTGGAGCTTCGGCCAGGTGGAGCACCCCTTTACCCAGAGGGTTTCTCCTGCACCCAGCAGCCCACAGCTCATTGGTGTGAGGCAGTACCCTATGTGTGGTTGGGTAGTAGAGCTGAGAAGCCACAGGACTTGGGTTTAAATCCTCCCTTCACCTCTGGCTAGATGTGTGGACACAGGAAAAGCACAGAAGCCTCTTGTAGCCTCAGTTGATCCATCTGAAAGATGGGAATACAGCGCTGATAATGTGTAGTGCTGAAGTTTGTTGTGTGGGTCAGATGAGGTTGCAGACAGAACTCGCTTCTCTGGATGGTAAGTGCTCGATACATAATGCAATTAATACCACTAATAATTAGAGCACCCAAACCTCTCCTAGTTCTCTTGATAAATGGAGCCAAGTTCTTTCATTTGGAGATGGTGAAAGGAGAAAACTACTGCTCACTTTGCAAACTTTCATAAAGGCAAGGACCATGGTGTCAAGACAAAGGGAGCTGAAAGGCTCTGCAGAATAAAATGACCCTTTCCTCCGCGGATAGGAAGGTTTTCTGTGAGGTCTTATCAGCACAGACTCCGCTTCCTGGGAGGTGGGCGGGGAAAGCAGGAGAATGGATTGCATGGAGGTGAAGGGGAGATTCAGGGAGAGCAGGCTGTGCATCCAGGTGCCCTCTGGCAGGCAGAGTTAGAGTTAGGCTTCTTGTCTAGTGGGTCCCACCCTCTTCTTTATTGGTTGTATGGCTTAATGGATTTGGGAGCTACACACGGCATACTTTGATTATTTTCACCTCTCATGACCCCCACACACACGGCCAGGGCCTCGCGCAAGCTAGACGGATGCTCACGCTGAGATGCACCTGCGTTCTGAACTCATGCCCTTAACCCCAGCACTGCAGGGCCTCTCTCTTCCCAATCCCCTCTGCAGGCCACCCACAGGGCTGTCGGTTGACGCAAGCCTTTGTTTACTTCCCTCATGCTGGTTATACTCTCTCTACATCTTATTCAACACTTCTGAGTCAGTCACCAAATCTGTATTGGATAACCTGTGCCAGGCTCTAGGTTAGGCATTCATCACAGTGTCAAACTGTGAACGTATCTGGTCCAGCATGGTGGTGCAGACCTATCATCCCAGCACTCGGGAGGCTGAGGCAGGAGGATTTCTGCGAGTTCAAGGCCCACCTTGAAAGTGAGACTGTCTCAAAATAAACAAACCAAAAATGTGAGCATATTACTCACATCACAGCCAAGGCCTGAAGGAAACTTACATGTAGTCTCTATTGGATGGCCACACCACCTAGAATTGAATAGAACTAAGTAAGAAAAGCGAAACATTGAGATGAGCATTGATGAACCATTCTACTGTGTGAGATTCCATGCACAGAAAATGCAGCAAGCAGAGTCACCCTGCAGGAAGACGTTCTCCTTGTCTAGGAGCAATGAGAATTTCCAATTCTCTGGGTTGAGAGTGGTGAACCAGAAGGAACAGGAGGAGGAGGAGAAGAAAGAGGAGGAGGAAGAGAAAGAGGAGGAAGAGGAGGAAGAGGAAGAAGAGGAGGAGAAGGTCGGGGGCATAGTACACAGAGCTTCCTTTATGTATGATTTTTCAGTCGCTGGGAAGTCACTGAGGGCCCTTAAACAGAGGCAGGTAGCAATTAAAGTTGCAAGTTAGAAAGCTTATTTGGCCTGGCTTTCTAAGCCTATTAGAGGAGAGGGGCTTGAGGTAGTAGCTTAGCTATGAAGCCAAGAATCCAGCTCAGCCAAACAGTGAAAAGCTTTGACCGCATTATTGGTAGAAAGAAATGCAGAGATGTGGAAAAACTCAAGAGGCTTTATTAAATATAGGTCTCAGCATCAAAGTAGAAGTCAGGGATGTGAGAAGGAGAGAGAGACAGAGACAGAAAGAGAGAGAGAGAGAGAGAGAGAGAGAGAGAGAGAGAGAGAGAGAGAGTCAGTCAGTTCCGTGATGGCAGACCATATCTCCACTAAGGAAGAGGCCTCAAGAAAACCTACTGAAATGAAAATGAATCCTAAAGAAGGGACAGGGGCAGAGGTGAGATAAAAACAGAATAGTGTAGAAACTGAAGAAAAGTGCATTTACAGAAGGGAAAGGCAGGGAGAGAGGGAAAGGAAGAATACCAGGAGTAGGTGTGTGTTTCGGTAGAAAAGTTGAAACAGAGAATGAGGCAGAATTGGAAAGACACTGAAGAAATGAGACACCGTAAGGTAAGGGGGCAGCCTGGGGCCATGGAGGATGACGCATTCCCAGGGAGGAAGCTGGGTTCATGGTAGGCGATCTGTCGCATTTCCCCCCAGATGTGTATAGTGTGGGCCTCTTTCATGCCAAATTACCCTCTGTGCAGCTCACTGTCAAAGATGTCACCCAATCGACCTGGTTCTGACATAAACTTCTAGAAAGTTCCGGAAGCACACCTCACCGCCGGTATGCAGCCCAGAGCCATGCCTGTTCCCATGGCAACGGGGAGGGAGAGACAAAGAGGACCAGAGAGAGCCCTGAGAGAAGCAGAGAACCCAGTGACCTGTGGGATCTCCCTCAGGTAAGCAATGTCATGGTCTTAAGCACTTTCCAGTGTCTGCTTTTACCCATCCATTGCTTCTCCCACCTTCTTTCTCATCTTCCTTCCTTCCTAACCAGAGAAAAACATCCCATACAAGCCAACTAGCAGCCTAGGGTCTCAGGGGCAGAAAGAATAACAAAAGATAACTGAGTCCACATGCATCTTTTTTTTTTTTTTTTTTGTCTTTTTCGTTTTTACCGGTACCAGGGATCGAACTCACGACTGCCTGCTTGCAAGGCAGGCGCTTATGCCACTGAGCTAAATCCCCAGCCCCCCACATGCATCATTTTGTACATGATGAGGAAGCTTAAAATACCAAGAGACAGAAGGGCAGGGACTCGTCCATTTGTCCAAGCCATACAGATGGTTAACATCGGAGTCCAGGAACTCCTGGCTGTCACATCTCTCAGCACCCAGACTGCATCATTTCGGATGAAGCAACTTTTCCTAAATTCATAAGTGTTTGAAGAAATTTGCAACATACCGGCTCTGGGTTTTTTCTCAAATCACAGTAGTTTATAAAAGGTCACCTTCCTGAAAGGGATTCCAGAAGGCAGGCTGATTTAGTCTCTGTATCCTAAGGTGTAAGCCCTGCCCCGAGAGTCTTACAACTGGGTGTCATGTATTCTGTGTCACCGCTGGGAGCTGGCTTTTAATTGCCTATTAAGGGAAGGAACTCAAAAAGATTAAGATACCTGCTCCAACCTACCCAGTTAATAAAAGGATCCAGTACCGGGAGGCTCCCACACCTGCTCTTGGCCTCACTGCTAAACCTTTTGCCTTTTATCAAGGGCAGGAAAGAGTGAAGGAGAAAGTCCATTTTCTCCTATTAATGGAGAAAGGGTAAAATGAAGAAATACAGGCATGAAAGCTAGGCATGCGTGCCATGGGTAATTCCAGGGGCTCCTGCGGTCTGTGGCTCCCTCGGGAAGGGGATCATGTGTTCACCTCACTGTGTGGGACACTGAGGCTGGGGTGTCAGACCTTCTGCTAGGGACTTGCCATCTAATTTTTCAAGTTGCCCCTTCCTTACTAAGGAAGCAAGAAGGAAGCTTCTGGCACAATCCTTGCTTTGCAATTCTATTCCTGCTTGATCTTATCCTGAGGGCTGCCTTTGTGATCACCATGGAGACCTGATCAAACTGCCCAGGCCCCTTACCTGGCAGTCTGTTGCTGTCTGGCTGATGCTCCTTCTCAAGCCAAGAAATAGCAGATTCTTTTAGGAAGAAGCAAGTTTCTTTAGGAACAGAGCTGTGGATAAATTATTTAATCCATACCAGGAACATTACACATTAGTAATATTCAAGCTTCAACCTGCTATTGTTTGTAAAGCATCACTCAAGATGCTTGAATTCAGGCTCAGAGAATGAAAGACACATCAGACGGGTTAACTGTTAAGCTGCTTGTTGAACTTTCCCAGATTGCTTCATTCAACAAATATTTGCTGAGTGAGGACACAGGAAGATGATTAAGACATGGGCTTTGCCTGCAAAGGGCACACAGCCTGGCCAATGACACACAGAGGTCAACTAACTATAGTATACGTCTTGCAAGCCGTCACTAAGCCATGTGGAGAAAAAGGAGAGAAAGCAGTAACTGTCCCCCCTCCCCCATAAGGTGACACGAGGACACTGGGAAAAGCTTTACAGATAAAAGTGCACTTGAGTTTGCTCTTAAAGGTTTGATTCATAAGAATTCAACAAGAGGAGGAAGGACAGAACTCCCAACAAAGGCTTGCAGATATGGAAGGGATGAGTTGGTTAAAAAACACAGTATGTGATGAGTTCAGTGCATTGGATCTGGGGCAAGAATCTGTGGGACTGAAAGGCGGTGGGGGTAGAAGAGGAGAGGGGAGTTCACTGTACCTTATTTGTACATAATTACATAGTCCTGGAGCAGAGGGGAGGCTGAATCATAAACAATGATCAGAAATGAGTGGCTTTATTAGGACTTCGAATTTTGATTGGAAATAATGAGGTGGCTTTGCTGAGCTTTGGACAAGGGAATATGCTTAGATTCGGGTTCTGAAAAATTCAGTTTGCTTAACATACAGACAAAAGATTTATTGTAGAACCAGGAGGTCCAGGCAAGACTGGAGGCAGGAAATCAGCCATGAGGTTTGTGTAATCTTCTAGGCCAGAAGTCTAGACTAGAGTTGAAGGAAGCTACGGAGTGGCAGAGGACACAACTGATAGGGACAGAAGAACGTTAGACTCCATGGAGACATGATTAGCAGGTGTTGGTGACACTCTATTGAGGAGGGAGCGGCTTCCCAGAAGTGACACGGGACAGTTCTTCCTGGACAGAAGTTTGCCCACAGCACAGTGACCAGCAGCACTGGAGGCTGGGAGGCATGTGCTTCTGCCCTGGGCAGCTTCTGGATCAGCTGAAAACAGGTGTGTGTGACCCTGGGGGCAAAGACAGTGTCTACGGTCCACACCTGGACATAGCTGCACCACGTGTTTTCTGGTGCTGGGGACTAAACCCAGGACCTTTGCATCTACTTTAACCATTTTACCTTTTCCTGAGAGGGGGAATGTAAAGGTTTTTATTTGCTTGTTTATTTTTGAGACAAAGTCTCACTACATAGTCTAGGCTGGCCTCGAACTCATGGAGATCCCCCTGCCTTAGCCTTGTGAGTGCTGGGAATACAGGAATGGGCCAGCACATCCAGCAAGGTGACTCTAAAGGCAAGATTGGCTCTTTCTCTCACTCTCTCTTTCTCCTTCTATCTTTTTGTAGACACAGGGTCTTCCTATGTAGTTCAGGCTGGCCTTGAATTTGTGGTGATCTTCCTGCCTCAGCTTCTACAGTGCTGGCATTACAAGCATGCGCCACCAGTCCAGCTCAAGATTTCAGTCTTTGGCAGGGCCAGCCACCTGGTATTCACATTGTATGGAAAGGAAAATCTTGCTGTTTTGTAGACAGATTGCATGCTCTTCCCTTTAGCCTGGCTCCAAACTGCTCCTGCTCCTTGCATGGTCACACTTTCTCCCATTCACTTTGTGTTGTTCCTTTGCAGGTCATTTGACAAACTCTCTCCTGAGTGTGGACAAAGCAATTTCTTTATGGGAATGTGTACAGTGGTCCTCCCTCATTTGTGGTTTCAGTGTATTGAACTTGGCAGGCAACACCATGCCTCAGTGGCCCCTGCACCCTCTCCACTGTCACCAAAAGGTCAACTGCGATGGACACTGTGTCACAGGACCAGTGTCATCAGAGTGCTTCTTCTCATCAGGTGAGGAGAGGGTCATCTCGTGTTATCCCAAGAAAAAGAAAGGTGAATGCAGATAATTAGACAAGAGAGAACATCTATGTAACTTTTACTAAGTCTCTTTTGGTCATTGTTTTGCTACTCAGTATCGTTACTCTCTTTCTATGCCTGATTCTAACATACAGAGGAAGAAACAGTATGGCACCTGAGGTGTGTGGAGGAATAATCATACTCTCTACAGAGGTAACTACCCTCATGCAGCCAGCCAATGCTTATTCTTATTAACAGATTTTTGCAAGAATAGATGAAATTAACCCTCATATTAATTAGCCCTTAGCTTCTTCGGAAGTACACAAAAACCAAAGGATAAAATGCTAACTAATAATTGTCATCTTAGTCTTAGCAGATTCCCTCAGGGACACTGCTTTTGAGTCTAGAGGCAGTAAATGAAAAATTATGCTTATTTTGAAATCAAAGAAACCATAGAAAGCGTCCAGATCTCAACGGGGTCTGACTCTTTCATGGCGAGGTCAACCAGAAGCCACCAGGGTGTAAGGAACCTGCTGGGTGCTCTGGTTGGGTTCAGACTCGGCGTCCACGCGTGCTCTTGGAGAGGCGGTGAGCGGGACTCTGTTCTCGCGGTCGCGCGTGTCAGTGTCACAAGCACAGATCCGGCCCCAGAGCCCGCAGAGGTCCCGGGGGACACCGGACCCGCCCTGCAGTTCCCCGCGCGCCCACGGGGTGGCGCCCCGCCCTCGCGCCCCTCCCCGGTGACATCACAAAGCCGGTTCCGCCCCGCCCCGCCCGGTGATGTCACAAAGCCCCCGCCCCCCGCGTGGTCCCGGCCGAGCAGCCGGTAGCGCCGCGATGGGCAGCGGGGTCCGCGCGCCCCGCCGAGCGCCCCGGGTCCCTGCGCGCGCGGCGCTGCTGCAGGGCGCGGGCCGGGCGGCGCCCTCGCGGGGCCGGAGCTAAGCCCGCGTCCCGTCCCCGGCCCCGGCCCCGGCCCATGGGGGGCCGCAGGTAGAGCCGCGTGCTCGGCCGGGCCGCAGCCGCGATGGCCGCGCGCCGCCTGCTGCTGGTGAGGCTCGGGGCTGCGGGGCTGGGAGCGGGGTGGAGGCGGGGAACAGGGTGGGGACTGGGGACGAGGATAGAAGTGGGGTCCCGACCGCAGCCGGGGATGGACATGCGGACCGGGGTGGAGGACGCGGTCGGAGACCCTGGTAGGGGCAGCGCACGCGGGGTCCTGATCTCTGCTCTAGGCGACCCTGCTGTCCACGAGAGAGGCGGGAGGGCGGCCCAGTGCCGGACCCGGCCGGTCTGGGGCTTTCCTGCCTCGGCCTTCTTTCTCCCAGACTCCCCTCCCGGGCTGGTCTCGGTGCGGCTGCGGCGTCACGCGGGGCCACTGCATTGGGGACGCAGAGACGCGGGGACCCGCCGTAGTCTTCCCGGCCTCGGGCGCAGTCCTACGGTACCTGAACGTGGAAGAAGAATCTCCAAGGCGGGGGTTGGGGGTACACTGGAGAACATGAAGGGAACCCGACCGAGTCCCCGGTTCCCGGCCTCCGGGTGCTGGGACCGCGCGCTGCGGCCTCGGAGGCTGTGCGCACAGGGCCCCGCGCGGCTCCACCACCCCGGCCACGGCTCCCCTCTTCCCACATTCACATCTCCTTTCCCCTGTGTTGGGGCGAAGGGTGAATTAGATGGAGAAAAATTCGACCCTACCCTAGAGGTACTGCTGGCCACGGCGCCTGCCCGGGACCCTGCAGGAGCTCGGAGGTTGTCGCTGAAGCGCGCAAACAAGGAGAGCGCTGTGTCCCCGCGGTGGAGGGGGGTGGGGTGCGCCGCGCCGGCTCCTGAGACCCGCGATCCGGCGCCGCAGTTACCAGGGCCCCAGAGTCACCCTACAGACAATCAGTCCTGGACAACAGGGTGTGTGTCCCGAGGGGCAGGGGGCGCTGGGAAAGTTTGCTGTTGGTAGTACTGAAAATGAGGGCGGCCCCAGGGTCCCTGGGAGAGAGCTTCCTGCCCTTTATAGTGATGACCAAGCCCTGGTTTGTATCCTGGAAGCAAAAGGGTGCATGGGAGCAGGAGCTGGGGACTGCAACCTGGGGCCACAGGAGGGGTCTGTCCTCGGGCCCCTACTCTGACTCAGGCGTTTTCCAGCTGCCTCAGTACCCTGAGTATAATCTCCCTGAACCCCCAAGCATGAGAGCTCCCAACCTGTGGTATTCTCTGTGTGTGTCTTGCTGGGTAGCCCAGGCTGGCTTTGAACTCACCATGTAGTCCAAACTGGCCTTGAACTCGTGACAGTCCTTTTGCCTCAGTCTCCCCAGTGCTAGGATTACAGATGTGCGCCCTCTTACCCGGCTGTACTGTATGTTTTATCTTTTAACCTGACATAGGAGTTTAAGGGATGCTTTCTATGTAATCAAAGGGTGGGTTTGTAAGTAACAGATAAAGCATCCAGCTCCTTTTCTTAAATCTTCATACTCAGTTTGTGATGTTAGAAAAGAAAATTTTTGCACTGAAGTTGCAGTTGAAAATCTGACATGAAAAGAAAAGAAATATATAATGAAATTATAGGCAATCTGAGAGTGACAACAGGGTTCCTATTCTTCTGCTAATTATAAGGAAAATTGAATAGATGATTGGGAACTACTTAGCCCTCAGCCAGCTTGGGAAGAATTGCCTTGTCTTTTTTGTTGTTGTTGTGTATTTTTTGTTTGAGTTTTGTTTTTGAGACAGGGTCTTGAAATGTAACTCAGGTTGGGCTTGAATTCACTATGTAGCCCAAGCTGACCTCTAACTTACCCCAGCCCTCCTGCTTCAGCCTCCCAACTGCTGGAATTACATACATGTGCCACCGCACCCAGCAAGAATAGACCTGTCTTTCCCACCTCCGCTCTGCCTGCCCAGTCCTCAGGGCAAAGTGTAAAACGGTGGTTCCAAGATGGCACGCTAAACAGTGTTTATCTGGGGTTTCCTCAGCCATTTCAACATGAACAACCTCAGGCACTGGAGTTGAGCGAAAGGGAGGATGCTCAGAACAGAGCTGGGAGTTTGGGGAGCATACATAGGTAGTGATTGAACCCAAACATTGCCATTAGATTAAAAAAAAAATAATAGAGCTAAGCATGTAGCTCAGTGCTAGAGCACTTGCCTGGCACAAAACCACTAATTGCCCAATTTCTTATATTATTATAGGGATACTATTCAAGTACCCATCTTCCTTCAGATAGTTCCCCTTATTGCTGTGCTAGTCTTTGTAATTACCATCATTTTCATGATACTTTTTTTGATATGATAGGCTAATTGCAAGAAAGGCAGCTTTCTATTAGGTTTTGAAAATAATAGATACACCCAGTGTAACATCTAATGTGGTACCTGGAGCAATCAAGTGAGTATGTTTAGTTAGAGCAGCCCCTGTGTGTTGCACAGTGTGTCATTATGAAGCTCCCTTGTCTCCATTTTGCAGGTGAGAAAACAGGAGGGCAGGACCTTTGGTTCTTCCTGGGTCACATGGCCAGTTGGGGGGCGATGGTGTTGGTTGAGAACTTGCCATCTCATAGTCCCCCTTACCCCTGTGCCACACTGACTGCTCGTAACTAGGGTGATTGCCTCATGTGACATCAGAGAAGGGCGACAGGGAATGATGGTTGAATGGTTTGTTGACCCAAATGAGGATTTCTATGTGTGTTCGGGTGGAAGTGTCCTTGCTGCTTACATTTTTGTTCTTGCTGAGTTCAGACATCTGTGTGATGTTAGAAAAGTGAAATACAGAGTGACAAGTCCTGCGTTGTAGGCCAGAATTCTGGAGACAGCGAAATGAGACCATTTGTGCCATTTTGAGGACAGCCTGCAAAGGGCTCGTCCAGTGTGACCATACAGGCAGGGGTAGCCCCTCATCCTCCAAGAGTTGGCCATGACCAAACACATATAAAGGTGACAGTTGGGACAGAAAAGAGCCACAATTGATAAGGACATTGTACTGGAAGTTTTAGAGAGTCCTGCTTTACAGAGGTTAAGGTTTCTAGACACAGAACCCTCTGCTATGATAGCCTGTCCAGCTGTGTTTGCTCAGAAAGCACCAAGTATTAGTTTTTGTCCCTGTCACTGAGACTGGGCCTCTCCCTTGAGGCTGCTTTCTGACCCTTCCCTTATGTAGGCACTTGACCTGGTATCTAGACAGGTGAGGGGTGGCTTGCCGAGGGCTGAATTCCTGAGCCATGTAAGCAGTTGGTGGTGAGTTCAAGTCGAAGTTGAAATTAGAGCTGATACCATATCCAGAAGATTTTCTTCTTTCTGTCGACTGTAATTCTACCAGTTTACAAACCTAGGAGGATCTCAAAACTCCATTCATCTAACTCCCTACAGTCCTTGGTCAGAGGAAAACAGCCTGACACATCAGCTGAGTGAGGTCTTGTCCCAGGCATTAGTAGCCCAGAGGTGACATGGGGTTCGGATCTCACCGGACAGGTGCAGTTGGTCTGCTCTGCAGGAGCTGCCAGGAAAACTGTGAGTTCCCTGATTCTGGGAGAATCCGTGGTCATCAGCACCAGACTGAGTGGTATGCGAAGTCCTTAAAACACCTGGTGGGCCTTGGGTGTTAGTTTGGAAGTCAGAGGTGAGGGTGGGGAGCATTTTCTAGGTCAGAATAACACCAGCCTTGAACTCATACCCCCAGGGAAGGATTTCTGACCTAGCCATGAGTCACTACAGTCAGAATTGCTTCTCCTGAAAGGCTCGTGTTTGAATTTTATTCAGGACAAAACAAATAAACCTCTACTATAAAGCTGCATAAGCAAACCAGATCAGCAGGGGAAGGATGCCATATAATAAGATGTATATGAACTTTGAGGAACCCTGGGGCCAGATAGGGATGGGTCCATGGGGTGGATGTGGGAGGTACTGTGAGTGCTATATGTGTTGGGACAGTTTGTCCACTGTCCCTTTCACCGTGTATGTCCTTCCTGAACAGAAGCAGGCAGTAGGCTCGAGGCTGGCTTTGGAGGGTTGTCTGTGCATGCTCTGTCCTTGGGTTGGTTGAGAGACCCAATGCCTCTCCTCTGCACCTGACTACACCTTCAGATAAGAGGTGAGGGCCTTAGGAAGGGTCATGGTGTGTTGTACCTGGGATTTGGGCTTGTTGTGCCAGCCTTTTATCAAGCATGTAAAGTGTGATCCGTACAAGTAAAGTTTTGTTTTGGTAACGGGAAACGGTCAGATGCACCATCAGGCCATTTGGGGTCATGATGAATCAGGGGGCTCCTGGCATACACAGCTGTGTGTTTCCAGGCAGCACTGACATCCTAGAGGCCTTGGGCGGTGAGACCAGGGCACCAGCAACTTCTTGGCATATGTGGGCACTTCTCTTCTGTGACTCGGAGGTCATCTCGGAGGCTTGGGAGTGTATCCCATGCCCCTTTGGAGCAGACTCAGCCTGGACCTTTAGGTGCAGACTGTCCATTGGAAAGAATGAGAGCCCAGCCAGCATGGTCCCTGCAGTCAAAGCCGCTGTTAGCACAGCTGGAGGCAGGGTACTGTTATTATGGCAGGAGCAGCTGTCGAACCCCTCCATTGTGTAGGAAAAAGAACTAGATCATGCATAAATACCCTGGTCTTACCCAGTGTTTGTATTTGCCAAACACCACAAGAACAACAGGAATCCTCCACTGGCCTGTGCCCTGCCCCAGGACTTTCCTACAGCCGCCTTTTGTAGCAGAGCGTGGGTAGAGTTCTGACCTGGAAGCGCCTGGCACCGTGCTCCTTGGAGTTAGGCAATGCAATAGTGTGTGTGCCATTCTCAGTGATGCTTGAGGCTCCCAGGAAGGTTTTCCTATCTGAGCCTGGCTTTGGAGCTGACAGATCCTTGCAGGGGTGAGAAGCTGTGTGTGGAGTGGCTGGGCAAGATGTGGTAGATTGTCAGGATGCCGCCCGGTGTGGTTTCTTCTTCTCTGCAGAACCTTTGAAAACAGCAAAGGAAGAGGGGCTCAGTAGGCTAAGGCATAGCAAGGCTCATTAGCTGGTATTTGTATGGCTTTCCATTCACTCCTCTGCCACCAGCACCTCTTGGTGGAT